TTTTTATAGAAAAGAATTAGTAGATTCTTTTGCGTTTATTTGTTACCACAGTCTTAATACTAGTACTAATATTTTTATTCATATTAATGCAATTAAAATGGATGATTTAAGGCTTGAAAAAGTTATTACAAGAATACTATCAACTTGAAAATAATTGATATTGAAATGATTAGAACTAGCCAAGCTAGCTTTGAAATTAACTGTTGTCAAAATGCAAGAAATGCATTTTGATGACAATTAAAAAATGCTGCTTGGTAAGAAGAAATTATTTAATACTTAAATTAGAACATCGTGGTTATACAGACAAACTGGGATAATGTCAGCCCTAAATATAGTTAAATTTTTATCTTATATTTTTTCAGATAATATATCAAATTAAATTGTCATTTATTCATTACTAACCTGTATTACAGGTTGCTTACTGCAACTTGTTTACTGTTTAAATAAAAGTATTGCTAGTTTACTAAACAAAGATTACTTAATGAAAACTTTAAAAATTAAACTTTAAGTTTTTTCTTAATTTTTTTTAATTAATTTTTCTTAACGTTTTTAAATTAATTTTTCTTGTAATTAAACATTAAAACAATCGATTAAAAAGTAATTTAAATTTTAAAAAGTAATTAAAATCATAAACCTCATTTTATGTTTTTTATTTATTTTTCAATTAATGGGTTGAATTAAATAAACAAATTTTTTTATTTGAATTTGCAAGATCTTAAAGGGATCCCTAAGTGCTATAAAGATATGATCTCATATGAAAAAGCATTAAAAAAAAATGTTTGATGTATATTATTTTTTATAATTTTATTTATTTTAAAACGTAATAATGAACACACACTAACAAATTTAATTTAAAAAAAAAAACGCTTTTCTTCGATTAAAAAAAATGCGTCTTGTCCAAAGTTTATTGACTCTACTGCCTCAAAAAACTAACGTTAGTACGTCAAATTAAACAAAGCAGACAAATGTCATTATTGCAAACTTATTAGTTGGTAATTAAATTTAAAAGTAAAGTCGTTTTTTTTCAACTAACACATAATTACTTACAAGAATAAGTTTTGTAGGATTTTGTGAAAATATATTTGTATATTAAAATTTTTTTTATAATATTAATTTATATATTTATGTTATAAGGGCAATTCCATGGCTAAAAATGAATAGAGGTCAAATTTTAAACTCTTTTTAGTCGGTTAAAAACAAATGAATATTGACTTAGACATATGAAAGTTTATTTAAAATATTTCCTTAGTAAAAAAATAAATTTATTTCAGTAATTTTTATATTTTCAAAAGTGACGGTTACTCTCGCTTTTGCTTAATAAAAAAAATGACTGTAAAATGATTTAGTTAAATTAACATTTATGTTTGCTATATTTTTTTGGTTCAAATTGATAAGGTTGAATAGACATTTTATTAGAAATTAAACTAAGACAGGGCTCGAATTAACGCAAAAAAATCTAATCGGGAAAAATTTTTTTTTTTTTGTTGCTCACTCCCCCCCCCTCTCTCTTATAGCTTGCGCTGATGTGCGGTAATGGGGGGAAAAAATTATCGTCAATAAATCAAAAAACATCGTCAAAAGCTTAATAAAAAATTAGATACCACGTTTTTTTTAATTTATTGTTTCTTGAATAAAGGACTAATAAAAGTTTAAATATAATTAAGTTTTTCATTTAAATGGTTGATGTTTTTATTCAATTTTTCTATTTCAAGTTTTCCAATAAAAAAAAAATTTGGTTTAATAAATCAAATAATACTTCATGTTTAAAATAAGGCTTAAAAACATTAAAGTAAAAAAAATGATTTATTAGCATTTTTATACTGTTTGAAAAAAAAACTAATAAAAAAGAATTAACTAATAATATATTAATTAATAATTATATATTAATTCTTTTTATTAGTTTTTTTTTTCAAACAGTATAAAAATGCAAATAAAAGTCAGTAATTTTTTTGCTCTAACGTTTTTAAGCCTTATTTTAAACATGAAGTTTTGATAAACAAAGATAAAAACCAACTTTTAAACTTTTTGCTTTAACGACCTTGTAAAAATATTCCACGCAGAGATTTAAAGTAATTTAAATTCAAAAATGTTTTACGTTGAAAGAAAATCTCCGCGCGAAAGAGCAAATCATCTATTCATCTATCTATTTAGAATAATAAATTTTGTGTGACGTTCTTTATGATAAAAACATTACTTTTAAAAATTGCTAAAAAAAATGCTAAGCTAGAAAAAAAATAATTAATCAACCAAAAAAAAAAACGAGTTGTGAAAAGATTTTTTTTAAGAAAAAACTAATCACAAAAGTGTGTGTTGCAATCGCGATACGCTTAATACGAGCCCTGTAAGACTTTTTTATAAGTTCTAAACTATTTAAACCTATTACTTGATAACTTTTTTTTAACGACGTCTTTCAACCGAATGCTATTATACTGTTTTTGCAAAACTAATTAAAAAAACTTGATTAAAACTTAACTATTTAATCACGACTTTTTTTTACTTGAAGTAATCGAAGTAGATATTCTAAAGTTGTTGTGACGTACTAACGTTATTTTTAACGACTAACAATCGAGTTTCAATGGTGAAAAAATAAAATCAAAATGGAGTAGTTTTTTAGTGATTTCGGCAATTGCTTTTTGTTAGCATGCATTTATTATTAAAATTTAGTGAAAAAGAAAAAAAACTTACATATTTTTTTTAATGCTTTTTCATATGAGATCATATGTTAGGAGCACTTAGGGATCCCTTTAAAAATTTTAAAATTTTAAAAAGATTTAAAATTGATACAAACCAAACTTTGATTTATTTATGATGAATAAACACTAAAATTTTAGTAAGATTCAATTAAATAGAAAATTTTATTTTAAAAATACCAGTAGTGAGCAAGAAAAAGATTTTTTAAATTAATCTCTGATATAAAGTATCTGTTACCTAAGTATTTTATATAAAGCATCTGTTACCTAAGTAGGCTTAATTTTTTTATATACACATCAATTAAAAAGTGTTTATTGAGTCTGAGCTCTCCACTTCATATTGGTATTAGCCCTCCACTTATCATATTGGTATAGCCCTTTGTCTTCTTGATATTTTTTAAAGCGTTGAACGAACCTCAATAAACAAATCTTATTAAGTGTAATAAAATCGCATTCATTCAACAAGCGTTGAATGAATGATATGATCATACTAAATTTAATGAATTTTATTTATTGAATTTAATATTAAAATTAAATTCATTTAATGAATGCCATTAAATTTAACAAATAATAAATTTAAAAAAAAAAAAAAACTCTCTAAAGAAAACCAAAAGCTTTTTTCTAAATTAGTAGAGTAAATTCTATAGAAGTTATTTGTAAACAGTTTACTTATAACCAAGGATAAAGTTTACTTGTTGTTATAACCAAGGAGAAAGTTTACCTGTTGAGATTTATTTTGTTGAAAACATAGTTACAAGTAAATCCTATAGAAGTTATTTGTAAACAGTTTATTTGTAGTTGTAACCAAGGAAAAAGTTTACTTGTTGTTATAACCAAGGAGAAAGTTTACTTGTTGTGATAACCATGGAGAAAGTTTACCTTTTGAGATTTATTTTGTTGAAAACATAGTTACAAGTATAAACATTGGTTTTGCTTTAACCTTTCGAACAAGCAAAAAAGTAATAAAAATTTTAAAGTTTTAAAAAAGTAAAAAGTTTTAAATATAAACTAATGTTCTAAAAATATTAAAAATAAATAATGGTAATAAATAATAACAAATAAAAATAATAAATAAATTTTAGATCTTTTATATCTTATTGATTCACTTTGAACTATTATTTTATTATTATTAGTATTTCATTTGCCAAAAAGTTTTCACAACTGGTTTAAAAAATCTGTTTTAGTTGCAGAAAAAGATTGCATTTCAAACAAGATACAAAAGTAAATAAATCCCAAGAAAAAAATATCAGTTGACATTAAAAGATCATCCAGGTCATATTTTAAAAATATGGAAAATTGTTTGGGTAGAATATCTGGAAAAAATCCAAAATATAATTTCCTAATAAATTTGCTTTTAGCTGACTTATAATTTTTGTATGAGTGACGAGTGAAAAAGCTTAAAAAACAAATATATTATAAATATATACATCTAAACTTGTATGTACGGAATATGTTTTGAATATCCGAAAAAACTAAAAGTTAAGAAAAATATGTGGAATTTCGGAAATATCTGGAAAAAGATAATCCCTGAAAGATTTATGTTGAACACTAGTTAAAAACCATTAAAAAATGTGTGTGTTACAAGCTTTCATTAGTTGAAAGCCGTTAAAAGATTCATTTATTACAAGCTTTGGATACTAACTACTTATCTATGTTTCAAAAAAGAGTTTAATAAGTAAATTTAAAAGTTAATAAAATAAGAGTTGTTACACAAAAGCCTAGAAAGGTCTACAAACAACAGCACTTGGTGAAAATGAAACTGCTTCAAACAAATAGTTAAAAAATGAAACATGAAACACCTATTCATCAATAATTGATAAACTTACATAATAATAAACATTTATCTATTGAGTGATGGAGATACATCACAAATATTATAAACAGATTATCAACTTATATTTCCAAGATTTCACTAAAAGTGGTACCTTTATACAACACTACATAGTAAAAGAGTTCTAAAGAGTTTATTTATTATTTTCTGTATTCATAATATTCTTATTATACTAAATATTAATTATTGAAAAAATTTTAACAATATTTGTAAATTTCATTTTCTTTCTATAATTATTATCATTTTTATTATTATTTGAGAATGTTAAATTATTATTTATACGTATAAGATGTTGGTATCAACGTGTTAAAATTCAGCGTCAGATGAATGTTGGAATCTACATGATTAATGTAGAAAAGTATTTATATATTTTCTACCACCATATTTAACCTATATTTATTATATTTATATTTCATATATACTATACAATTAATTTTTAAATCAAGGTTATACAATAATATGAGTTATACAATAATTACTTGATTCTGGTTTTGCATACCAAGAAAGACCATATACCCAGTTTTCATGACCAACCAAGACTGATTCAAGAGTTACCGAGTAAGCTAGAATTAAAACATTTTTAAAAGTTTGTTTTTTAGTTGAAAAGAATTAAAGAAAAAAAGAAAACACACAGACACACACACACAAAAAAAAAAGAAAACAAATTTTTATTTATGAATAATTTGTAATGACTTATCACCTTGGTTATTAAAAATAAATTCTTGTTTAGTAATAGCAAGAGAATCAGGCTCAACATTTTTAATTGTAGGAGATATTTTCCATAATCTTATATAACTGTCTTGTGATCCACTGGCAAGCAGAAGTTTATTACCTAAAAATTATGAAGGACTTTATGCTGAACTCAATTAATACAAAATAAAAAAATCATTGTTTAAATTTTCTTTCTTTGTAAATTGGCCGTGTACAAGTAGTAAATTGGTAATCTTGTTTGGTAAGTCCATGTACAAGCATTATCAATTTCATTATTTAAAATAAAAAATTATAATTAAGATTACAATACCATAACTATTATTTAACTGTTAAACATGTAATAAATGTTAAACTGTTAAACATGTGATGCATGTCATTTTGGTCAGGTCAGGTTTTCCTGCTACTGGTAACATGTAACCCAGTACAACCTGCTTCATGTCCTGCTGCCTTGTAGGATACGCTTCTTTAGGCAAAGGCTAGGAGAAGTTAACTCCGAATTAAAACACCCCCTGCCTTGGGGCTCTTGGTTGAGTAAAGGCTAGAGATGGTGTCTCGATAAAAATACTCATCTTGGGCAGATGTTACATGCATCCAGCTGCTGTCTTGTAGAAGGCCTCCTAGGCAAAGACTTAAGGGGTAAACAGATTCTATCTGTTGACCAGCCTTGCACCCCTTCCTCATCTATTAGGCTGGCGCAGATGTATTTTTAATACATTGTTTCCAGTTTAGGATGTTGAACGCTGGATCTTCTTGACTCAATGCGTGGGTATTGCTTGTGTCTCTATTTTTACGACTGGGCAACTCATTCTATTATCTCCTAATGAGGGTACAGCTCTAAAACTCAGTTTTATGGTTCTGAGGTCGGCTGGTAGTCAGGTTTCCCGAACTCTGTGGTAGCTCTCAGAGAGGCTGATTCCATCAACAGCCGAAAAATATCAGAGTACTAACAGTGCCATGTTGCGCATGGATGGTGTCCCTGTTTGTACTTTTGGTGTGCATTGCAGAGGCCACATTTGGAGCCCTTTGTTACGGCTTAGGGTTTATTAATAGTAATGAGGCTATTGCTTAGTTGTTAAATAGTGTACTGAGTACTATCTATACTTGAGTCAAGTTCTTTATAAATTCAAAATGACTAAAGTACCTAAAACTAAAAAACACAAAAAACCATCGTCATCACCAAGTTCTCTAAACCTATCATTTACTAATATTCGTGGTCTTCGAAGTAACTTTTCTTCTGTTGAGTCTTATCTCTTGCAAAGCTCACCAGACCTACTTGCTCTTTGTGAGACTAATTTGAGTTCGGCTGTCCCATCTTGTGATCTTAGTGTTGATGGTTATCTTCCTTTAATTCGTAAAGACTCCAATAATCACATGCTTGGCCTGGGCATCTACATTCGTAAGAACTCACCCATTTGTCGTGAAACTAGGTTTGAATCTACAGACTATTCATTTATGTGCTTTCGTTTAGCACAACTTCACTCTATCGCCTTTCTCTTTGTTCTATATCGCTCTCCTTCATCCCAAGATTGCACTACTCTTGATGCTATTTCTGATCAAATTGACCAAGCCCTCTCTCTTTATCCATCGGCCAATATCGTCGTTGTTGGTGACTTTAATGCCCATCACACCGATTGGCTTGGCTCTAGTGTCAGTGACTCTGCTGGCGTTAAGGCCCTCAACTTTTGCCTTTCTCAATCTCTAACTCAAATAGTCAACTTTCCAACTCGTTTTCCAGACAACCCTAATCATTTACCTTCTCTACTCGACTTATGTCTTGTTTTGGATCCTAGTCAGTGCTCAATTTCTCCACATTCACCCTTAGGTACTTCTGATCACGGTTTGATCTCTCTAAAACTATTATCAAACTCTTCTACTTCATCAGAATCCCCCTATCATCGTACCACATACAACTACATTAAAGCTGACTGGGACTCTTTCCGTGATTTTCTTCGTGATGGCCCTTGGGTAGAAATCTTTCGTCTTCCTGCTGACAAATGTGCTTCTTACATAACTTCGTGGATTCAGGCTGGCATGGAATCTTTTATTCCCTCTCGACGATTCCAGGTCAAGCCTCACTCTTCTCCTTGGTTTTCCTCACATTGCGCTGCAGCAATTTCTAATCGAAACCGTTACTTCCATATCTATCAGCAAAACAATTCTCCAGAAAACAGACATCTGTTCACTATCGCCAGAAACCATTGTAAAAAGGTTTTGTCTGACGCCAAAGCTCGCTATTCTCAGGTCATTAAATCTCGTATCTCATCACAAAAATTAGGCTCTCGAGACTTCTGGAGAATCTTTAACAGTATCAATAATAAGGGCAAATCTGTTATTCCTTCTCTCTTGTATGGTTCAGACTTTGTCACCTCACCTAAAGACAAAGCTGAATTGTTTGCTAAGAACTTTTCATCAATATCATCTCTTGATTTCACTAGTTGCGTTTTACCTGACATAGCTGTCAAACAGGTTGATCCCTTGACATTTGCATCACTTCAGCTTCTGTATCAAAAGTAATTTCCTGCTTAGAATCTTCAACAGCTTGTGGTCCTGACAACATTCCTGTTGTAGTCTTGCAGAAGTGTTCTCCGGAGCTTTCATCCATACTTTCAAAACTATTTAACAAGTGCTTATCAGAGTCTTGTTTTCCATCATGCTGGAAAGCAGCATCTGTTATCCCTATTTTCAAAAATTCTGGAGAGCGATCTGATTCATCTAACTACCGTCCCATTAGTCTTCTTCCTGTCATAAGCAAGGTTTTTGAATCTTTAATCAACAAACACTTAATCTCTCATCTTGAATCAAATAACTTACTTTCTGATCATCAATATGGATTTCGGTCTTCTCAATCTACAGCTAATGTGCTAACAGTAATAACCGATAGGTTTTTATTCGGTTTTTATTCAATTTTATTCGGCCAATCGTTATCGTAATAATTTAGATCTTCCTATATTTATGAATGGTAATGTACTAGATGAGTCATCTACCATTCATCTTCTAGGATTAACTCTTACTTCTGATCTTTCTTTTAAACCGTATATCAAATCCATTGCAAAATTAGCATCTGCTAAGGTTGCATCTCTTTATCGAGCTCGACACTTTCTTACTCCAGATTCTATTCTCTATCTCTATAAATCTCAAATCCGTCCCTGTATGGAATACTGTTGCCACATCTGGGGCGGATCTTCTAATGATGCTCTTTCTCTTTTAGACAAGGTGCAAAAACGAATTGTAAACATAGTTGGACCTGCTCTGGCAGCCTATCTCCAACCTTTGTCACATCGTCGTAATGTTGCTTCTCTTTCTCTTTTCTACAAATACTATAATGGGCACTGCTCTAAAGAGCTAGCGTCCCTTGTGCCATCTACTAAAATTCATTCTCGTGTTACTCGCCATTCAATTAAGTCTCATCCTTTTTCTGTGACTGTTCCTAAGTGCTTCAAAAACTCTTATTCTTCTAGTTTTTTTCCTCGAACATCAGTTCTTTGGAATTCGCTTCCTTCATCTTGCTTTCCTGATTCATATAATTTGCAATCTTTTAAGTCATCAGTCAATCGTTATCTTGCTCTACAGATTTAGTCTTTCCTCTTCCAGTAACTTCCAACTCTTATAGTGGTTGCTTGCAGCCTTGTTGGAAGTGAAGATGTTAAAAAAAAAAAAAAATGAAATGCAACTATTAATAATAAAAATAGCAATAAAAATGCAGTTATAAATAATCAAAAGTAACTGTAATTTGTAAACAATTTTATTTATCTTTATAAACAGTAAAAAACTAAGTTGTGTTTCTTGGATTTTTTAATTAAGGATGAATAAAATTATCAAAAATTAAAAAAATTCATCTATAAAATGACTCAATTTAACGGTTGAACATCGCCGCTTCTCGGACCATTTTTAAGACCTACTAGAGGAGAGCAAAAAACTCGATTTTTGCAGTAAAAATGAACAATTTATTTATGAGGGTTGGTTGCCCTCATAAATCAGATCTCAAAATCAGATCCTCTGTACCTCTGTACAATATATACAGAAAATCTGGGGGGCAACCATATCCAACCGTTAAATTGAGCCCTGCTATAATATAAACATCCAACACTATTATACATAGCGAATCTGCTTAAATATTATTACTCTTAAGCAAATTGTTTTAGTAATATATTTGAGTTGTGACCAATAATTTGGTGAGTGTATTAAGAACACTTAGACGGTTATATCATTATTCAGCATAGTTACATTATTTAAAATCCATATGTCAAGTTTAGTTTTAAAAGAATTCACAGAAATATCACTAACTACATCAGTAGGTAGTCGATTCCAATAAAATGATGCTTTGTTTGTTAAAAAATAATGCTGAAAATTTATTATTTTGCAACTATGTTTCATTTGATGACCTCTTGCTGATTGATAGCTGATTGGTAAAATTTCATTAATTAAATTTACTTGTTCAATTCCATAGAATAACTTATACATTTGAATCAAGTCACCCCGAATCCGATTTACAGCTTATAGCTTTTTTAGTGGTGATATTATTCTTGTAGCACAATGCTGTACCTTTCTGAGAGATTAAAATCATTTTTAAGACATGGAGACCACTCAGATACAGCAAATTCAATTATTAGGCTTACAAAAATTGTGTATATAATTTTTAGTAATTCACTATTTAAACTTAAAAATGTATTCTCCAACATACCCAAAACTTTTATTTTCTTTACTTTTAGTTATTTGATTTTTCCATTTCAAGTCAGAGGTAAATACCAAGATCTTTATCTTGGTGTATTAACCTCTGACTTGAAATATTTAAAAAGTATATATTTTAAAGAAATATTTAAGAAATATTTAAGAAGCCTCTGACTTGAAATGGAAAATATTTAAAAAGTATATTTTGCATGAAATAAGTAATAAAATAATCTCGCACAACCTCTTCTAGAATTTTACAAGGTACAGAAGTGAGTAAATTAATTAAATTTAACGGTGACAGTTCCTTTTTTAAATTGAGGACTAATATTGGCTGATTTCCATTGAACAGGTTGTTCTCTAAGCACAATGGAAGCTGTAAATATATGTGCAAGCGATAGAGCTATTCCAAATGCAATTTTTTAAGATTAAAGGTTTAATAAGATCTGCTCCACA